TGCACTCTTCTCATCCTCATGCTCCTCCTGATCATTCTCCTCAGCTTGGTCATCCTTCTTGACCCTTGCTGCTGATGCTTGCTGTGTCTTTGCCTTTGCTGCTGATGCTTGCTGTGTCTTTGCCTTCTTTAGTTGCTCGTGTACAGCCTCAGCTTGTGCCTTCTCCTCTTCCTCTTCCTTGTCGTCCATGTCTTCTGGCTTGTTGTGCTTGTCTTTGCTGTCCTCGTTCCTCTTCCTCTGATCTGGCATCTTCTTGGTTGTCTCTCCTGCTGCTGCTCCCTTATCCGAACGTGCTTCCTTTGTGGCCTTGGCCTGCTTCTTCTGCTGCGTGGTCTCCTGGTCTTTTGGTGTTCCTTCTTTGCAGCTGTCCCTCAAAAATTGTTTTCTGGTTTCAACAGCACTCTTTGGCTCAGGTTTGTTTGAGTCTGCGTCTTTTCTTGTGCGCCTCTCGCCTTTGTGCTTGCTCAAACTCTTGTTTGTCTTTGTCTTCTTTGTTTCTTCATCCTCTGCTTGTTCTTCCTCATCTGTGAGCCCCTCCTGCTCTTCCTCTTCCGATAAGGGTTCCTCTGAGTCCAAGGAGTTCTCTTCTTCTTCTTCCTGCACCTTCTTGCTTTTCCTTGTCTGAGTCTTTCCAGCCTTCTTTTTTCGGTTCTGCAGCCGCTTTGGCCTTGGCCTCTGTTTTTTTCTGACCCTTTGCACTGACCTGAGCCTGTTGGATTTGCTCCTTCAGGGCCGCAACACGTTCAGGAGTCAACTGAGGGTTGTTCGTGTCCGTTGATTCAGATGTAGTCATAGGGAGTATCTTCTTCTCCTCAACCCCTTTTGATGGCTCTGCGGCAGGATCTTTAGGCTTCTGGTCTTCAATAGATGGCATGTCCAAAGCCTTGGGCTTCATAGGATGCACCATCTTTTGGTCTTGCACCTGCATAGGAACAAAGGATGATAATACACAGAGCCAACGGGTTTAAGAATGTGCTGCTCTATTGCCTGAGGTTTCAACTAATAATCTACTTGTCAATTTGACAAGAGTCTTGGCTGGTCTTTTGAGTTGACACCCAATGGAAGCCTCCCGCTTCTGTGCAGATACTGGCGTCGCGGTGGTGGCTGATGGCAACGGAGAGGCAAACCGGACCTTCCCAGGAGTTGGTGCATGTCAGGGCATAACGTGCAGTCCAGGAGTACTGCAAATGTTCACTGTTATTTGGTTCCTTTCCACCTCCAGGTGACCCTGGTATCCCGCCTGTTTGCATGGTGGGGTCTTAGTG